GGGGGCGAAGCCAATATATATAGCTAATAAATATGGCGACGAAGTGCTTGCCATTTACATTGTACTTACAGGGAAATAGTTTTTTAATTATAATATTAACTATTAGTCAAATTTGTGAGTGGGCAGGTACAAAGGTTCTGCAGGTTCCTGTAGAAAGGAAATTTGTAGAAGGAGAGAGAGTTTTGAAGGCTGGACATACAATTAGATGTGGTAAAAATGTGGAATCAGATGGAAAGGTCTCATTTACAGCACTGTGTTTACAAACATCAAATATAAGACTTACTTCGCATGAAATTAAAGGAGATGTAAATTCGAAAGGTATATTATCATGTATCTGTTCTTATAAAGCAGGATTAGGAGAAAAATGTAAGCACATTATTGCTGTTTTGCTGTACTGCTATCAGTAAGTACACCTAACCTAATTTAAAATAAAGTAATTATTACTATTATTAGACTCTAGCTAGTTCCAGAAAAGATTTTTCTGTATTTTTTCAGGAATAGTAATAAAATAGAAGTCTTATCATGTACTGATAAGGAATGTGAATGGAGAAAAAAGCACAAGAAGGTTTTGCAAAATTATAATCCTGCTCCTCTTTTGCAACATGAATATTTCTCTCCTTCACAACCTCCACAAAAAATTAAAATTGTTAAGAGTGCTCTAAAATTAATAGGAGAAAAAGATAAAGAGAGAGAAGAGACTGAAGAAGAAATAAAAGAATCATTAAAAAAACATGATGCCTGTCATACAAAAGCTAAGAGGAAAAAAGAAGTCCTTGCACTTTCTCTGGTATAAGAACTGGAATTAAAAATATACAAAGATCTATCTGATTCTGCTTTAACTAAACACATGTGAGTAGAAAACAAATTTAAAAAATTAAACTTAAAATGTCTTTTTAACTATAAACATGATTTTAATTTATAAATGTCATAATTTGTGTGTTTATAGGTCAGGACGACACACACTAGTAAGCACAAAGAACAAAAGTAAAACTAATAATATTGAAAAAGAAATTATTCAATTATTTTTAAATTTCAAGACAGTATACTGATAACTGCAATAAAAAAATTACCAGTATATGCAGTACAAAAATGTTGTATTAATACGATTAATGAACTCAGTGAAAATGTTGAAGAGATTTGTGTAAAAACTAAAGACTGGTACGCTTATTGGATACAAGAAAGAAGATATAGGATAACAGGTTCTACTTGTTATGAATTATTTATGTACATGAATAATAAAAATGCAGACTGAAACAAGAAATGTGATAATATTTTAAAGCCAAAAAATTTAAAAACAAAGTTTACTGAATACGGGAAAAAGACTGAAGCAGAAGCTTTTGCAAAAGGTACAAATGCTGAAGTAGTTGAAATTGGACTGGTTATCTCAAGACTCAGTCCATGGTTGGCCTATTCACCGGATGGAATTATAATTAAAAATGACAAACCAGTTGCTTTATTAGAAATAAAGTGCCCATTTGTTGAAAAAACTGCAAATATCGAAAACACTGTGAATAGTCAAATAAATAAATGCTTGCAAAGAAAAAAAGAAAATATTGTCTTAAAAAGAAAGCTAGAATCGGTACTATGGACAAATACAGTTAGGCATGGCGGTGTTAAATTTAAAATTTACATACTTTGTCATTTGTTCTAGTTTTGATAAAGAATGTTATACTTTAAAAATTGAAAGAAACGATGATTTTATTTTTTTAATGTTAAATAAATTAAAAAAAGTTTATTATAGTAAAATGTTACATAAAGTTTGTTTATTGAAAAAAGTATGTGATAAAAATAGTCAATAGGTATTAAAAAATAATTAAAAGTACTAAAATATTTATCCTAGTTAGTTTATATCTAGTTTTGATAAAAAATGTTTTTAAAAATTAAAAGAAAAAATTTTATTTTTTTAATGTTAAATGAAGTTGTTTGTGAAAAAAGAAAAACATGAAAAAAGAATGTAATAAAGAAGGTAGTCAATCACTTAGGAACATAAGAAAATAATAAAGTTCTAAAATATTATTCCAAAGAAACGTTTTTATTTTTATGAAATGTAAAGAAAGTTTATATCAAAATAAAATTTTATTTTTTAAATTATAAAACGATTCTTTTGATTATAAATCCTAAATGTAATTATATATTTTCATAAATTTTTTTTCATAATTTTATATTTTCATAAATTTTGAATCACTTAGAATTGGTGAAGACATTAATTGTCGCACAAATAATTATAAAAATATCTTCTATAATAGGCACCAATGCCATAGGCATTATTGATCCAAGAATTTTAAAAGTCTTGATACGCTGGTTGGATCTTTCAATGTGGATCAATGCCACAGGTATTACTGATCCAAGAATTTTAAAAGTCTTGATACGCTGGTTGGATCTTTCAATGTGGACTCGAGCTTTAGTTATTTTAGCTGTTAAAATAGATTCTTCTTTACTAAATTGTTTTTTATCCTTTAAAAACGGAGGTCTTACACATTTCCAGCGATTCACTTCACGCACTTCATTAATTAAGAATCCTAGATCAACCATTATTGCATCGCCAGGTTCTAGCAAGTGAATCAGACCACTTTGCTGAAATATTGTTGAATCCGTTGCTCGTCCTCCATAAGGTTTGCTGACAAATGTTATATTGCCTGCTGGTGAAACACCGGTCATTCTTTTACATATTTGTGCACTTTTATAATGAGAGTAGGTTAAGATCTGGCAACAAAGTTCTGCAGGTCTTTGAATGAATACCTCTGTACAGTCTAAAACTACTCGAACATCCTCAAAAGATTCAAAACATTCAGGAATATTTCTGCGTATCTCTTCTCTTGAAGGCTATGGTATCGCTGCTTTCAAACAAATGCTTAACATCTTCATTGTGTCATAAAATATGCGTTGACAATAGGCGCGTTCAAGTTGACAAAGCGG